CTGTATGTATGTGTGTATGTGTATATATACTGTATGTACGTGTGTATATATACTGTATGTATGTGTATATATATACTGTATGTATGTATGTGTGTATGTGTATATATATATACTGTATGTATGTATGTGTGTATGTGTATATATATATACTGTATGTATGTATGTGTGTATGTGTATATATATATACTGTATGTATGTATGTGTGTATGTGTATATATATATACTGTATGTATGTATGTGTGTATGTGTATATATATATACTGTATGTATGTATGTGTGTATGTGTATATATACTGTATGTACGTGTGTATATATACTGTATGTATGTGTGTATATATACTGTATGTATGTATGTGTGTATGTGTATATATATATACTGTATGTATGTATGTGTGTATGTGTATATATATATACTGTATGTATGTATGTGTGTATGTGTATATATATATACTGTATGTATGTATGTGTGTATGTGTATATATATATACTGTATGTATGTATGTGTGTATGTGTATATATATATACTGTATGTATGTATGTGTGTATGTGTATATATATATACTGTATGTATGTATGTGTGTATGTGTATATATATATACTGTATGTATGTATGTGTGTATGTGTATATATATATACTGTATGTATGTATGTGTGTATGTGTATATATATATACTGTATGTATGTATGTGTGTATGTGTATATATATATACTGTATGTATATATAGATATATTCTCATATTTTTTGTTTACTCATATATATATACACACACATATATGAGAATATATTTATATACGAGGAAACAAAAACTATGAGAATATATATATATATAGATTTTTTTTAAATTCATGTTAGTGGTCCGTAGGATTTAAAATGATGAATTTAGTGGTCCGTGAGGTCAGAAAGGTTGGTGACCGCTGTTTTAGGTGGTTCACATTATTTCCGTTGTTCCTGTGTTATGGGCTCTCGCAATGCTGTGGTTTTACCTCTAGGTGGCAGTGTAACACCAACAGTTCACCATGGGGGCGATGAAGGGAGCCACTCTATGAAGCGGGTCCCTGGAATCCAAGAAGAGCGCCCTGGATACTTTCTGCAAATTTGTTTCATGGTATAAGAACTACTCGGATTTGTTGCACGTGTCGGTACTAACAATGACAATGTTGCTAAGGTTTTCCATCATTTCACGAAAGGCCTGCTGAAAACTACAGGAGGGGGCAGAAACACCCTGCACAAGGAGAGAGGGCAGCAGTGACCAATCTTTATTACAGGAGGGGGCGGAGACAAGACCAGTCACCCTGCACAAGGAAGGAGAGCAGCAGTGACCAATCTTTATTACAGGAGGGGGCGGAGACAAGACCAGTCACCCTGCACAAGGAAGGAGAGCAGCAGTGACCAATCTTTATTACAGGAGGGGGGGCGGAGACAAGACCAGTCAGGAGAGAGAGCAGCAGGGCCACACTTTACAGAGGTGCCTTGACGGGGCGGTGTGGCTTCTACATATTTTTGGAAGAACTTTTATGAATGAACCCTATAGTGTTATTGTAGATAAAAAGTCCATTAAAAAAAAGATAAAAAGTCCAAGTTTTAGTCCATAATTATTAAAGTTTATTACATTTTTGGGTCAAAGATCGCAAGGTTTTTTTTGAAGGTCTACAAAATATACCCCAAAAAACTGAAATATTCAAATTAAAATAAAAGTAAAAGTGAATTTCTGCCCACGTATTGGAGGTGGTGCCCAAGCGTGACCCAACGCGATGAGCTCCTCCACACACAAAAAAAGAAAACAGTGGGGTATACCCCAAACCAATACAAAAGGCTCCAATGTATCTCCATGAGGGATTCTGCGCTCCTGGAAAACGCCCAAAACCACATCAAGGAAACATTTAACGATATTTGGACCCCCCCCCCTGAATAGACCGTTTCAGCTGTAGGTCGGTGCTGTCGTCGCATCTCTGTCCCCATCTCCTCCTTGCCAATCACAAAGCAAATGGCACAAAGCCTCATTTTGTGATTGATCTGGATGAGAGGGGAATGGGGATGATGCAACATCAACGATGAGGTCTATGACACCTGCAATGCTACAGCCGGAGCAGGCACGGAAGTTCAGCAGGATCTGGACTTTCACCCGCAGGTATATTGAAGATTTAAGAAAGTTCTATGGACAGGGTTTCCCTAGCCTTTATGCCGCCTGAGGCGGCTGGGATGGTGGGGGTGGGGGGTGGCGGTGCTGAATGGTGCACAATC